AAAAAAAACAGGGGGGGGGGGGGGGGCGCGTAACCTTGACCACTTAACCCATATGATCACCTGTAAATGGAAAATCAACAGGTGGCCAATGACACTATTATTCAATATGCTGGATGTGGCTGCCATTGCCAGCCTCATCATTTGGCTAGGCCACAATGCAAACAGGAAGCAAAGATCACATTTAACAAGACAGCGCTTTTTTTTGCAGGAGCTTGGAGAACAGTTGATCAACGGACAAATAAAATGAAGAATGATGGATACATGTAATCTGTCTAAATTCATCAAGTCTGGTATGACTGTCCTAAATTACAAATTGCTACAACGCACTCGAGTAGAACCTTCTGCAAGCATGAGTGGACATTGTGCTCTTTGTCCAAGGACAGATGACCACAAAACCCAAAAATGATGCAAAGATTGTAAGCAATTTGCTTGTGTATACTACAGTACATAACTGCTGCTTTGTGAGGAATGCTATATTTAGTTAAAACAATTAGGAAATGCTTTTGGAAGTACTATTAGTTTGAAAACAGTGTGAACTGCAGACTTAGCAAATTGTTCGTTCATGTTTTGAAACTCTAAAAAAAGTTTAAATTTTGTTCATAGTTCTAGTTAAATAATATTTTGGGTTCAAATCATAATAAATACTCTTTCAAATAATCTGTATGTTTAATAAATAGTTTTTGGTACATTTATACTGTTGTCACTGGTTCCATTTTGTTCATGCGGGTGGGGTAACAAGTTACCACATGAGCCCAACAATGTCAAATTGTGGGGTAACAAGTTACCCCATGACAACAACAACAGTCACAGTTTCATGAGAATGGATGAGGGTTATGTACATTTGCATAGTGTATAGAGAGGTGATTGCATAATAGCTCAAAATAAAGACTTACTCTTGTATATTGTATGTGAGTGGTATGTGGGGGGGTGTGAGGGATCGTGTGGAGAGTGGGGGATGTGGGGTGTGGGGTGTGTGTGGGTGGATGTAGGGTTTGTGTGGGATGCAGATCCGTGGGTGGGTGTGCATGTGTGGGGTGTGGGCTTGGAGTTTCTGGGGGGGTGTGGGGGTGTGGGAAGTATGGAGGTATGTGGTGGGTTGTGAGGGAGGGTGTGGTGGTGTGGGGGAAGGTGTGGGGGGTGTACATGTGTGTGTGGGTATGATGGGGTCTGGGGGATGTGTTGGCCCCCCCCACACACACACATACACCCCATGATGCACATCCCCTGACACTGGTAGCAGCAGCACTAGCAGGCAGCAGGCCCTCAGGATGCTCATGGCCCACAGCACACAGAGCCCCCTGGTAACATAGCTTCAGCCAGGAGCTGCACGTGGAGGCAGGGAACTGGGCCAGGCTGCCAGCTCCATTGCACGTGGCTCTCAGGTGAGTCTCAGGAGCTGCATATGAGCCACAGGGAGCCCCGCACAATGGGGCCAGGCCAGCCCTGCATTCCCACTGAGCTGGAGTAGGAGCAGCTGCTGCCCCACCCTGGCCCCATACTCCCTCCAGCCCTGGAGCTGTCATAGGCCCTGTGCTCCCATTGGCCCCAGCCCCATGCTCCAGGCTCTGCGTTCCCACCAGCCCCAGTGCCAACACCTTGCTCCCACCCAGCTGCAGCTTCCCCCCTGCCTACCACCACTTCCCTATCTCCTGCCCAGAGTGCTGCAGCAAGGACCAAAGGAGAAGCCCCTGGAGGCCAGGGGAGCTAAGAAGTTCCCTGAGTGGCTGCAGAAGCAGCACCAGCAGCCCCACCTGGAAACTGTGTGCACTAGCTGGGTCCAGGGCTGGGGCCAAGACTGGGGCCCTCCCATGGGCGAGGTTAGGAGTGCACGTGCTGCCTCCACAGCTTGCCCCAGGTGGAGCACAGCAGGGGCAGCCAGTCTGAGCCAGATACAATGAATTAGTGAGCGCCTGCTGGGCCATATTCAGCCTGTGAGCCCCTGGCATAGGCTCATGCGACATCCTGGAAGGCTGTGCCAGCAGGCTTCAAACTGCTCGGAGCCAGAGAAGTGTGTGGCTGGAGAATGCAGCACAGAGCAGCCTTTTAGAGCATGGGGCAGGTGCCCAGGTAGCTGTGGCCAGCTGCAGCCGGTACCTGGACCTCCCACTGGCTGCAGCAGCAGGCCAGGAGCATCCCTGACCTAAACTGCTCCCCCTGGGCTCAATTTGCTCCCATCACTGGGTGCATGAGTAGACACCGTGTCCACATCAATTTACTTTGGTGCAAACTGCCCTGGAGTAAATTCAGTTACAACTGCACGTGTAGATGCGCCCTATATGCTCAAATGATCCTAGGAAGAAGCTCATGTCCAGCACTATAGAGCAAAACGTCAGAGTGTTTACCAATCTGTTAAAAAAAAATCTGTTTAAAAAAGAGGGGAAAAATCCTTTCCCCCCAAATCTGCTGATTGACTTGATTCTGAGCTCATGTGTAAAATTGTCCTGCCATATAATTAAGTGCACATTTGCTTCACAGCAACACATGCCCTGGCTGGGACCTCCTGAGAATGTCCTGCTCACCTCTGCCTAGAAAATACTTCCAAACTAGGAATACGGAAGTGAAGATGCTCCAAGGCACCTCACTGTGGCTGATCTTGATGTCCAACATGTTTGAGACCTATCACTGGTGCCCCTGGAGCATCCTTCTGGTATAATTCCAGATTTTAAGTCTGTGTGCTTGCAGTCTGTTCTCTCCCTCTCCCTTCCACTTCTGCAGGTACAGCTTACTCTCTCCTTCCCTTTCTCCCTCCCCCTTCCTCTAAGGCAGGTACTGTTTATGGGAAGTAAGCTCTCTTTTTCCTCTCCCCTCTCTCCCTGACATTGGCAGCCTGTCCCTCTTTTCCCTCCCTACCAGAAAGGAGTGATGGTCCATGGTGCAGCCAGGAGGCAGGCACGCTGCCAGGGAGCTCCACCAATCTAAACTATTAAGCATGCACCCTTTGACAGACCTTTACTAGCTTCTCTATAAACCTGGTTAGAAAAAGAAACAAGAGAGATTTGATACTGTGTTGCAGTTGGCAATATATCCAGAGACAGTTGTTGAAATGATGCCATTAAAATCAGTACTGATATGAACCTCCTTAGCTGGTCACTTCCAAACGAACACTCCTGTTCAAAAAGAGAAGTAAGTGTGCCATATCATTATGTTTAACTCCTTATTTTATGAAAGGGTTCCTGAATACCTACCTATATTTTTCTGTGTTTTCTGGTCCAAGTAGGAGAAAGTTATGAGGAGGTTCCTAGTCCCTCGTATGGGAGCAAAAACTCAGGAGGTACAATCCAACCAAGATTCAGAGAATCCCATCCCTCAGGGACAAAGGTAAGGGTGTTTGGACTTTCAGCTAGATTCTTGCATGTGGACACATGGTTAGGAAAGCATTGGCATTTGTACTCTAGCAAACTGGAACTGAATACTAATTGCATTGTTGCCCTGGCCTATATGCACAAACTAATGTCTTCCAGCAAGGCAAAACTGAGCTTAGTCCTTCACATGGAGCACGCCATTTCTGTAAGAGCTAGCGCTATATCTGCCAAATGTTGACTAGACAAGAGATAGCGGGCTGTACTTTATTTTACTTATTATTAGTAATGGTAGTAGCCTGTTGACCTGAAAATAGCTTCTGATTTTTATAAGCAACTTTTATAATCAATTTATGAAACAGGTTTTAATTAGAAAGCTGTATAAATATATGTGGAAAACAGTGAAGATAGAGTGTAGCAAACTATTTGTATACACATTTGATCATGATAGAACTGGGTCAGTGTAATCCTTATCTAGTTGTATAATCTATATAGAAAATGTAGCCATGAACTTAATACGTTTTATTTTGCTTTGTTAATGCACATATATTTGTTATGATCATTTGTAATTGTATTGTGCCTTAGCTAGGGGAATGTCTTAGAAAGAAAATTACTGTTTTCTCACAGTCAGAAAAAGCTATGTATTGTTTCCTTCCTCTTATTAATCTGTTTCCAAGGGGCAAAGATACCTGATGCAACAGCTTGCTTCTGATTGTCCCTGAATAATGCTTAGCTACTTTCTTCTCTCATTCTATTAAGAAATCTGTGTGTCACAGTTCAGACTTTTGATTTTCCTTAGAAATAAAAACATGATGAATTTCATACAATATACTGTATATAAGGTAATATTAGGCTAGAAAACTACTTTAACTCTGTACTTTGTAATGCACTGGAGATATAAAAAGCTACTGGTGTGCAAATGACCTCCTCTGGGTTATCAGGCAGTCATTTTCAGAATCTTTAAAAATGTCCTAGCTATAGGACCATTGATTGTAAAAACAGGAATTTTGATTTTTTTCACCTTTAAACTTAATTGTCTTTAAAAAGGAAAAAGGAAGCCAGCACTGATATTAGTTCCTTTTTCACCATTTGTTCATAAGTATATTTATTTGCCCTCAAATAGTCAACTATGTTTTCAATGTACAATAGCTAACTCCGGCTCTATGCTAGAAAGTTACACCAATTTAATTAGAAAGGGATAGATAAATCAATATAAGCTCCCTGAAGCAGACATACTTGTATCAGTATGAAGGTGCTTTATAGCTATCCTTGTATGGAAAAAAGGCTAGACTGGTATACATGCATCCACAGAAGGATTTGATCTAATATATCTGTATTGGTAAAGGAAAGTCATATGCCTAACTAACCAAAACTATGTATAGATCATGTCTCAGAAGGACTTTGCAAAATTGGTAGGCTTAAGGACCTAATCTTGCTCATTTTATTCATGGAATATTGTTACTTATATTATTAAAATGATCAGGATTTGGGCTTGATTTTCAAACTAATAAGATAAATGAAAAACAGTGGCCTCAGTTCCTGTACTCATATGGATACACAAGATTCTCAGTCTTTATTTAAAAAAAGTTTCCAGGCTGCATGATTGCAGGGGGAGGAACATGAAAATATGATCCCAGATTACCATAACTGTTCAAAACCAGAAGGCCAAATGTATTTTATGATTTTTAAGATAATATTATGGTTGTGAGAGTATGCTCCATATGTTTTGAATGTTTGGGAGTGGCAAACCAAGCTTAGAACAAGCTGCAGAGGGAGTTATGGATTCTCTGTCACATTAAGTTTTGAAGAAAAGGCTAGATAGGCATCTGTTTAGGAACAGTGAATTCTCGCATGTGTCCTGGGAGTGGACTAAATGACACTTTAGTTTCCTTTCAGACTTATAATTTTACGATTGTGAGTGGCCTTTTGAAACATGCACATTTTTTTATTTTAAAACTTGAGAGACTTTCTGTCTTCTTGATTTCCCATTCCTTTGTAGCAGAATTGCTGTTTTGTTTTCAATACGGAGGAGGAGACAAATCTATGCAAAATGATTCTGGTGTACTGGAGTATAGACTCCATCCATAACTCAAGTTTTTCACTTGGCTTGCTCAGGGCATGTCATCATGGATCATGATCTCCAAAAACACCTTCAGCACTCATCCAGGTTTCTTCACGTATCGTCTTTACTCCCCATGGGGAACCAACATCTGAATGCCTGGCTTTGTTACCTTGGCTTTTAATACAAAGCCCTTCCCAAGATGCTTGGCACCTTTTGGAAGTCCCTTTCCACCGTTGCCACGCCCCAGCCTCATAAAGCTGCATTCAGGCTATGTTCTGTTGCCACCTCTCACTATAAGAGGTGTTGTATCTTTAGCCCTAGAAGCTGAAAACAGGAGAATACATTATCATTGCAGCTTTTACATGAAAAGAAAAATGCAATCTTTACAGCTTCAGAAGGTGAAGCACTCTCTGAAGCCTCAAAAAATAAGGCAGCAAGTGAAAAAAGCCCCACATTCCTTAATTTATGAGCTATCTCACCATTTTTTAAACCAACTCCATCAATGGTTAGGCCCTAATTGGTGCTTCTTTAACAAGTGGGATTGGCAATTCTCACCAGGGTGGCAACTCTTGAGTTTTTATTGGCAGCGTGGCCGTGTCTGGAGTTGATCTCAGAGACCCCTTCTGGAGCCAGGCGCCAAGGGGAGACTGCAATTCCCGGTAGAAATCTGACTTGGGTTCCTCTCCCTCAGCCCTAGGCAGGGCAGCTTGGACCTGTGACCCAAGTAGGACACGAAGGGCAGAAGACAAATGAAGCGAGCCTCAAAGGTAGCATTAAAAACCCAACAAATAACCCTTCCTCCCGCCCAAAAAAAGTTTTTAAGCCAATTTCATGAGTTCTTGGGGACCCGAATCATGCACTTTTCTAATTATTCGGGTTTCTGAGCAGTGGCCTTCCCTGCCCATGGCACAGGGGCCTGCCTGGGCCCCGACTGCCAACGACCTGGGGCATGCGGCACCCCCCGAGGGCAGACGGAGGGTGGCTTTGCTGGGGGACGAGAGCTCCTGTGCTTGCGGCTCAACAGGCAAGGCTCTTTGGGTGAATCCACGTCTTTCATTAGACAGACTCTCATCACTGGAAAAATTCTTCTTAGGAAGTTGTGTATTTTCTAGGGTTGGGAGAGACCTGAACAGATCATCAAGTCCGCCGCCCTGCCGAAGCTTTCCAGCACAAACACCCGCGGGTCTCAAGACGGTGACTGAAGCCACGGCCCCCTGCCAGCATCTCCCCCAGCGCTGCAAGGGAGCAGGGGGAGGAAGGGAGACAGGGGGCGGGGCTCACCCCTGCCCCTCCCCCTTCTCCCTGGGCCCAGGGGGTCTGAGCTCCAAGCGAGCACCAATCACCAGGCCGCCTCCTAGCCCCGCCCCTCCTTGCTCCTTTTGCCCCGCCCCTCACCACGCACCCCGCCTGCTGCGCAGACCGTCACTTCCGGCGGGGCGGATATCCGGACTGTACTGTCCTTTCCCATCCGGCGGTTTCCACGGTAACTGCCCCCTCCTTCCCCGCGCCGCGGCCTGGATCCGAGGTGCCCTGCTGTGACATCAAAGCTTCCCCCGTCGCTCGTCTCCTTCCCCCGACCGGAGCCCAGCGATGTCCACTCCGCCCCCGGCCGGG